TCCTCATCAGTCTGCGCATGCTTGGTGGTCTGGTACCGGTTCTTCTGGGACTTGTTTGTGACCCTTATCTGCAGAATTTCCTGAAGTTAAAACAAGAGTAAAGAAATAGTCAATCCTAGTCAAATAGTCCTGGTCTGAAGCCCCAGGAAGCCCCTGTATAACCAAAATAGTCAATCCTAGTCAAACAATCCTGATCTGAAGCCCCAATATAGCCTGCCCCTATTGTGGGGGCAGGAATGTGGCTTAGCGACCACCTTATTGTCTAGTGGGGAGAAATCCATGGCAAGTAGTGAATATGAAGAGTCCCTGAGTGGTACAAACAGTTAACATGCTCAACTGTTAACCGAAAGGTTGGCAGTTCAAGTCCACCCAGAGAGCCTTGGAAGAAAGGCCTTATGATCTACTTCCAAAAAATCAGCCATTGAAAATCCTATGGAGCACAGTTCTACTCTGATACACATGGGGTCGCTATAAGGCAGAATTGACTTGGTGGCAACTGGTTAGTGAATATAAAAAAAAACAAAAAAACAAAATCTATGATCACTTTACATAGTGGAGCCCAGGGGAGGGAATGACTAACTTCCTGAAGATTTAAAAAGACTTCTCAGTCGGTATTGAACAACATTTCTTCCTAGTCTTTTTATAAAGGTTGAGTTAAATGCACAATCAAGAGCCTTGCCATTTCCTTTCCTTCATCTATAAAACACAATTCACAGTGAAATCTACTAACTGTGGTCTTCATGGGGAAAGGTCATTCTCCTTGAGCACCCTTGGCTGAGCAGGCAGCTTTGGACAGGTGGTTTGAAGATCAGTAAGAGAGGAAAGGGACACCCAACCATACGGATTAGCTGAATCATCTTGGGTGTCAATGGGCCACCATCCGTCAGCCAGACGGTCTTCAAACCACTGTGATACAATTGTGCCTTAGAAATCATCCTTGCTGACCTAGTTTCCCTTCCCATCGCTGACTGGTCGCTGTTTTCTAAGCTCCTGGTGAGTGGGGATATTTTGAAGACTCTACCACATGAACCATTATGTTCTCAGAACAGAATCCGCATTGTTCTTTGCTATACTTCGTTTAAACATGAACGTTCTTTTATAATGTTCAGCTCTCCTAGAAAAGGAAATGCCTTATTGCTAACCTCTCTTAATTCACATTTCTGTCTTACCTGACTCTCCTCTCTATCTAGATTTTGGCTTCAACCCCTCTTCTATGGAGCTATCTCAGACTAAACCAACTAAAAAACGGAAGAAAAGTTTTAGAAGGGAGCATAGTACTCTTAAAAGGAACATGGACTTTGAAAGAAATGGATGTAGAATGAATATAAAAGTGAATCAGACCAAGCAGGTGTATGAAGCACAGATGTTTGGCTTTAAGGATCTCTCAGTCTCATTGGGGAGATCAATTCTGTACATGTAATTATGATACAAAAGTGACAAATTATATGAGAAAAGTGATAAATATTATAAGACCTTAAGGTAAAATGTTAGGAGTTTAAAGGAAAAAGAGATTACCTCCCAGCTAAGGGCGACACAGTGGCTGCAGCGATGGGCTTAAGCATAGCAACAATTGTGAGGATGGTGCAGGACCAGGCAGCATGTCATTCTGTTGTACATAGGGTCGCTGTGAGTCACAAGTGACTCAATGGCACCTAACAACAAGGAGAAGGGAAGGATTTATGAAGTAAGGGCTACATTTGAGACATGCTTGGAATGATAAATTCTGCTTCATTTTTGCCTCTAGTTTCAAGGTTTAAGATGTGGGTATAGATGTGGAGGGTATTCTTTTTAGTTTTTATTCAAATATTAAAGGATGCTTAGACCATTTAAAACCTACAGTGTCTCACCCATGTTAAAACTTCCAAGCTGAAGCATCCATTAGTTGTTTTTATACCCATTTTAATATTCATTTGATAAATATCAAGAAAATCTTATCTACTGCACTCAGATTACTGAGAAAGGTAAAAATAAAGATTTTTGTATTTTTATTTAAATGTCACTTTCCGTTCCCCCCAGGGAAACATATACATAATTAGATGAATGACATCAGCTGACTATTGTCCTAGTGTAAGTCTCCTCTCACAGGAGGTTCAGGAGCCAGCCAGCCGTTACTGGAAGAACTACCTGCAGATTGGTTTTACAAGCTAATGTGCTGAGGTTACGAACATTGACTGTTTTGAAGCTCCAGTTGGATACCATAGCTTTTCCAGGGTTCCCTACGGCTTACAGAACCAGGCTCACTGAGTAGTTTGGACATTAATATGGATTGAGTACTGATTTTTGAAGGAGTAATTCATTTTTTCAGAATTTTTTTTATCCCTAGGTCTTATTCACTCTCTGAAGTTGCTGAAAATCTATGTATTTTCAAGCTTCGTTTCTAAACTCAGGTGTGTTTTTCTTTTTTTTAGGGTAACTTCTTGATTACCTAAAATTCGCTGAGAGGAGGGTATTTTATTTAATAAAAATTTCTGGTTTACAGATAGTAAAACACTTTTTAAAAAATCCACAGTCTAA